GAAGTATTTCGTCCATCTTAGAGGTGATGACATTTATTTGGATATTTTGGTTGGATTCACTATTGAAACCTAGAATAACTGTTGTTTCATGAGCTGTTTTAACTTGGTTTTAGGAGGTCTGATAAATCGTTCAATCATATTAACTTCGGTTAATTATATGGTGCATATTTTGACCTTAATTTATATTAATTATCTTAATTGCATGTATTAGTTTAATTGCGGTTTTATTGAACAAATTTCTGATAAGCCTACTTAAAGCAGTGTCTTTATTCGTTAGGCAGTAGTTTTTACTGCATAGCTGGTAGTTTCTACTTAAAATTTAGCAGTAGTGTGGCAGATATGGAGAAAAATGTGAAATCGTTTTTGTAACAGAAGTAAATGGAGAATCGATTTGGAAATTTCTACATGTCAGATTGAATATCCACATATGCTTAATTGTATAGCAGTCACAGGTATACAATATACACCAAGCGTTTTAATGAATCAATTATTTTTCCAGTATCGAAATTAAAGAAGGTGAGATTTTTCAACACGTCATCCTTTAGTCTTATCTGTGCCATTCGCATCTCAATAAGTAGTGGTGACTATGATTGGGAAAGTACCATTCTGGAATGTGGACCATTTTGTTAAGTAAAGGCGATTGCATATATATATATATATATATATATATATATACAATCGCCTNAGGCGATTGTATATATATATATATATATATATATATATATGGGGTGTGCGATAGACTTACCTCCACGTGGTACACCCTGGGCAATGTATACTCATACGGCAAAAAAGTCTATCAGCCGGCAGTTGACTTCTGACTTCAAACTACCATGGCCCAACTGCTTGTCATATTCGACCCATTCAACAGTGCTCATCTTACCCTTTTCTCTACCTTTGTGTCTGTCTGCCTCTATTACATCTGTGAATCGCTCTTCTGTTCCCCACCCCTCGACTTCCTTCTACTTTGATGAACTTTCCCTCTGTGAAGCCCGAAGTCAGCTGAATGGCTAATGATAGCTATCAAAACGCCGGCCATTTGATATATATATATATATAGTTCCAAGTTGATATCAATCCGTTCAGAGTTCGCAACCTTATTCCATAATACAGGAAGATTCAATTCAAATTATCACATTTTATTATAATAGATTGAAATTTTATTTTATCTTGCATTGTAATTTTTAATGTTATTTTTAGAGTAATAGACGGACTGGATTCAAATTAATCGCATTATATTGTAATATTATTTATATAATGTATTATATTTTTCCATTATATCTCTTCGAAATTGGCCATTTCATTTTTGAAAGGTACAGGGCTTTATCAAAGTATGACTTACATTTGCAAATTAAGACAAAATGTTATATTCAGTAATGAAAAGGCACTCTTGTAAATAAGATTCCCTTTTATAAACTTACTCAAATTTATATTACATTTGTTATAGAATCTCACAATATGGAATTGATTTTGTGATGTCATTCTCGCCTCTGCCTCAAAGGCCTGAAAAAGGAGATCATGATGATGATGATGATGATGAAAGCACAACCGCCACACCCTACAGTTTTCATATCACTCTAATTATAGCTCATTCACTTTAATTATCGATCTGTTGAGTCACAGTATTAAATTTGTTATTTTGCCACTTATGCTTCAACACCTTTCAAACCTTGATTAACTTAACAGTGCTTGAGTAGTAGTAGAGTCCTAGGGCACTCTAATGAGAAAAAAAGGATCATTTCTTGCTATTCTTGAAGTCAGGGGAGGATATTCATATTAAAAATTGTTGGGACAATAGAAATATATTCTTTTCGCAAGACTAAGCTCCCCTAATTAACGAACAATCTTAAATGTAGTTCGTTGAAATGCAAGCTGAGTGCTAAATCCTCAAACCTTTATTAACCTTAGATTTGCCAAATGAAATGGAGTTGATTTCACCCAAATCTGACATTATGATATTACGACATTGATGTTTTCTTTGAGTAGCGCATTAAGACAAAGTATTAAGTTTAAATTTAAATATATTCAATTGATAACTTGCGTAAATTGCTTCATGACACCTTAATTTTAGGAGAAATTTGTCCGAATCGAACGTTTCTTTATTGAGCATTCAAATAAACTAAAGTAAATCTTCCATTAGGGCCTTAATTCTTTCATCTAATTTTTTATATTCTGAGTGTTTTTCGTAAATTTGAAGGTTTCAAAAATCAATTTGATTAAGGTGTTATGAAATAAGGCAGTCAAAATCACAGCGGCTCTCTAAATTTGGAGAACCGTGATAATGAATAGTTTCTTGAACTTTCAGTTCAAGCCAACATTCAATACGGCATTCTTATTTGAGTTCATTAATTTTTTTCACTCTTGAACAAGCGGAAGACTACTACACTCTAGGAAGTTAGAATTAACCATGATGCGAAAATCTCCAAAAAGTATGCGAGTATGTGTTTGTGGTCATACAGATATGATAATTTGGTTGGATGGTGTCAAAGGGATTATCAGATTGAAACAAGACAGTTCTGGATATAGTGCTGATCATGTACATGACGTTGTTTATTTGTTACCTACCATTTAATCGCTGACTTTCCATAAGGGTGATTAATGCAATTCAAGGCAAAAGTATTGTTTGAATTTTCATCCTTTTGAACAAATTAGGAATTTCAGATATTATTAGTGCTCTATCTATTATATTTTATAGTCAAAGAATTCAATTAAAAGAGGTTAGTTTGCCTGCTTATTAATGCTTGCAATGATTTATAGCTGTAATCAACTTATTTTGTTCAGCTGTCAAAATATAATAAGATTCAATTAAACTTAGGGGTATTTTGGAAGAAATATAGAAGTTTGAGAATTTCGGACTGGAAAATTTTCAAATAAACTCATTGGTTCAGTTAAAAAGATTTTCATGGATTTTTAAAGCATAATCGTGGTTTGTAGGACAACTAACACGTTAGATTGCACAGAAAAGTATTCGTAAAAATGGAATTCTTCTAACATACTCGCATTGCATCCCATAATTTCCTTTTACCTGCAAACAGCTTCTTCTATGATTATTTCAACTAGAGCTTATTGCTCCCCAAATGAAAGTTTTTTCATATCAGATTGCCCTGATTCTGATTCGACTCGATTTGAGTCAGTTGTCATTGGAAAATCAAGGACAAGAGGGTAGGCAAAATAATTGATAGAACCCAGTGGGATGATTTTTCGGTTTATTGCAGATATGACTTAGGGCAGTTACTTTTACTTAATACCTGTATTGTTTTAATTTCCGTATCTTTGAAGTTAGGTTCTGGGTGGAGTAAGTAACGTTTAATGCTTTCAAGTATTTCATATAAATCATGGGACCAATTTAATTATGAAAATTCCTGGATAAACAATTCTCAACTTCTACACCATTTCAATATGATTGCATAGTCTATGCCGGGGAAGGTGTGCATGACGAAATTGACTCACAGAAGCATAAAAGATGTCACAATCAGAAAGTGGGACCATATTGAAATGTGCTGAGCGGTAATAGTAAATCTAGTTTACCAATATGGGTGACTGAGGAGCAAATTTTTACATTAAAAACAAGTTGACTCAACCGACATCTAGTTCCCTATATTAACCTTTTTTAATCATGAAAATGACAAAGGTGGAGGAGGAGGATCAAATTGGATAACGATTAAGACTCTGAACATGTGCCTGAAAAATTATCTGCTCCAAGACACTATTGTATAAACTGTAGCCTTACATTTTGGATGGGCTGTTTTGTCTGTGTTCTACATCGATCTGAACATAGACTTCTGAAATAAGTAATTACAAATTATTGTGATTGAATAACTCATGTCAATTTCTTCGTAATTTTTCATGGATTAAACTTTGCATATCGTTAAATTGGAGAAGTTGACAAATCGGAGGCGTTTGCCTAAAAATTTATGTATTTAAGACGGCAACAATTAGTAGTTAACATGAGGTGCGGCTACATTCATCAGTTTTAAACGTATTCAAGCAATCTCCTATATTTTTTATTAATAAAATATGACTGACATTTGAGCACATCAGGCAACGGGATATTATCACCCTTTAGTCAAACGCTACAAACTCAATAATATGGTTATTCCTGTCAGCACCAATGAATACAACGATCTGGGAAGTTCCACTCACTTACTATATCTACCTGCAATTGAAGCAAACTTAACGTCATCGTTTGCCGTTTACAAACACTTGCTAAGAGTCCTTAGCAATATCCCACAAAAGTGATTCCTTTGCATCAACAACTTTTAACACTATTTCAGTTCAATCTCGTTTCATTTCTTAGATCTTCGCATTCTCTACAAAAGTGTTATTGACTCAAGAGAACTTTTAGAATTTGGGCAATCACGAAAACCACTTCGAATACACTTTAGGACTGACTGCTGATTAAACTAAAAAAATAGGCACCGAATTAGGATATATTTTACTTAATTGAAGTAAGGCTTCTAGAAATTTCGCCACCTACACCTCAACCAATCATTTAACGAGAAAGAAATTAGTGGTGCAGTTTCATACTCATTTGCTATTTAAAGCTTATCAAAATCGAGTAAAGAGGCACTTCAATAACGACTATGGAGTAAGTGATTCTCAAATTTACCTCTTAAATCAAAATGGAACCATTTAAAAGAATCGTTGTATAGTTATTGTAGATGCCCACCAGAAAGTTGCAAACAAGTTTGGGAGTACACAATAGGACTGTTCATATTTATCATGCTGGTTCTAGTGTTCACTGGAATCGGAACGAATGAGTAAGTGATATAGTTTTACTATTGTATTTATTATATTGTTTGATTCGTTCTGACCTATTTGACTATCTTTGTGCATTTAGAACAACCCTATTTACAATTTCCCTACTCATAATGGCAATGCTTGTCTTACTATCCTGCATTGTCGCCATTATTTTAAAGATTTTCAAATCCTGTTACCAAAGAGATGCTATTGAAATTGAACTCATTTCAACGAAACCTTTGAAAATGGTTAGTGATTTTAAACACTGCTTCTGTACTTTTGTATTTATTTAAAAACTACTGACCGCTATTTCCCACAGGACCAAGAAAATAATTCGGAGGATCCTCAAGTCGCTGATTGCGAACGAGTGTTCTCTGTGGTTCGTATCAAGTAAAAGCATACAACAACATCAAACTGAAAAACTTCCTCGCATCTACTGACCCGTTTATTTACCAATGACTCAAGAATGAACGCCTCAATATTAATAATATTGCAGCATAGATAATAAACCGACAAAGTTGACTTTCAATTATGGTTCAACCAATCGATTATTATCTCCTCAATATCGACTTTATTCACTAAATGTCGTGTAAATGACAGCACGATATGGCGAATTAACACAGATGTTTTGATAAATATGATTTTCAAAAGAAAAATCGCATGAAATTGTAACGGATTATAATTTCATCGATAGATGTTAAAATTGACGAGGCACTAAACTTTTATATTGCGCGTCAAGTCTGATGTTGTTGGGAGAGTTCTCAGTTTGATGTATCGCATATGTTCTAATTACACATTCGCTGGCTTTATTCAATTCTCCTCATATCCCCATTTTATTGCTCCATTTGAAACAATAACCTTGTTTATTTATTTATTTAGTACAATAAATCATATTGTTCAATACGGCTTTTCTTGATGTTGCCCCTATGGCGTTATTAACCAATTTTACATCAAATTAACCAGTATGCACTAAAGAAAGCAAATTAAATCTTTTCAAAATTATGCCATAAAAATTTATGCCAAACAGATTTTATCTATTTAGATGGCTATTTCGATTTTGAAAGAACACAACGAAAAGGAAAGAATATTTATTTTTATTCAATACCTATAAAATACTAAAACTTTAAAGATAATCAATCTAAAAGAATGGTTCACAGCTATATTTTATTTTGCAGATTGTTAAATTCTCAACCATGTGTACGAAGGCAAATGAATTGTCCTAAGACCCAATAAATAAAAACTTTCTAAAAATACTGACTTGTGGGACAATCCATCAATGACCAATTAGAAATCCTGCTATAGAATATAACCCAGAAATATTTAGCTATTAATGTTCACGCGAATTATGCTAGAGTTATCTGATAACTAATCGCTTTGTCAACATTACACTTTGTTATCAATATACGTACCGAATTAACGTATTCCGTGCTACACGCCTGTTTCCCTTATAGCTGGGCTATAGCTTAAATTGTTCTGGGAGTCTAGCTAGATGTTGGAGAAACTGCCATAGATATAAACGCGCTCCGTGCTACACGTCTGTTTTCTTTATAGCTGAGCTATAGCTTAGCTGTTCTCTAGCTAGAGGTTGGAGAATCTGCCATAGAGATTTCTGATTCCTAGCTAGATGTTGGAGAATCTGCCATAGAAATTTCTGAGCCGGTAGCTAGATGTTTGAGAATCTGCCATGGAGATTTCTGAGTCGGTCTAGATGTAGGAGAATCTGCCAAAGAGATTTCTGAGTCAGGAGAAACTGCCATAGAGATTTCTGAGTCAGTCAGGCTTTATTAGAGTAGAAATCCGCTACAGACTTCACTTTCATTGAATGCTTAATTACTCTGCACTGTCTCGGGGTGTTTGCATTCAAAATTTGGTTTAAGCATGAATAAAGGGGAAAAACATCATGTCAAGAGGGTTCTTCGTTATTTTGATTAATATATTTGAAATAAACTAGAGTTCAAAGAAGACTACAGTCAAATAAGGTAATATTTTGCAAATCACTGAAGTCTGTATCGGAACACTGCAATTAATGAGCCTTGACTGTACTCAGTATGTTCTATGGTAGATTCTCTTATGTTTGTAAAGACCCACAGAATTAGTTGAGCTACCGCAAAGACAGAGGAAACAGACATATCACGCGGAACACATTGGTTTGGGCTCTGTGTGAGTGATTTGTATGCAGACAAGGAGCTTAGTCATCATATTAACACGGTGCGTTTGCTGAACTAAGCGAATACTATTGATTGGCGGTTGGCTGTGCCCACCACACCCATGTTCGCACTTACTCCCTATGCAAAATTGCACTCCACACCTACTTTGTACATCGGTGACAGCATTGTGGGATAGACTTACCTCCACGTGGTGCACCCTGGGCA